TTTATCTGGTCCAATTGTATGTCCTTAAACACCCAAAAGGGAAGTATAACCAAAGATTAAAGGGGCCAATATAATTTCATAAGAGCATATATATATATAGCTAAAAGTTACTTGACAAACAGCAAAGCCAGACACGCGATGCCTTCAGTCGAGCTGTTGGCCAGGATGGATAAAGTTTCTTCCAGATAGTAACCCAACATACTACTGGATAAATGAACAGCAGACCCCAATTCTATCCAAAGGAATACTGACAATGGATTGCCGTTGATGAGGAACAGCTGATCCTCCTGGAACAGGGACCTCTGGCTGACTAGATTTACCAGAAGGGCAGATGGGGGGAATAGATGGGGGTGCTGACAGCACAGTGGACAGTGGCAGGGATGGCAGAGTATGGAGGCTCTAGTGGGAGAGGAAGGCTGTCTATCTGACGAGTTTATATTCATGCTCAGAAGCCAAGGAACTCAGAAAGTAAGCGACTGTGACCAGTAATAGTCATATATATAGAGATTAGAAATGCATGTGAAAACGTCTCAATGTCAACTGCCTTAAAACGAATTTTTCTGTATGAAACTGTGTATTTTAAAACGAAGAGATCTTTTTTAAACATTAAAACCTCATTTAATTTTATGTCTTATAGAATTTATAATGAGTAAAAGATTGTATAAGCGTAATAATTCATCTGTAAACCTAAAAATGTACAGCCAATTTTGAAAGAGATGTACCCTAGCTCAGAAAAATGTTATTGAGTAGGTTAATGCTGTTGTAATGAAATGCTTCTTCTAATTAAAAAAAAAAAAGAACTTTCAGAGAACTGCCTATTCATCTTATCTAGAAAATAGAATTCGAGGTAAGGAATATGAGGAGGCAGGTTGGGGTATGACTAAGAGTCTTGTTTAAACCAATGAATGATTTGGGGCAGGTGGTGCACAGGAGATTCTAAGGTTAGAATGATCACTGTCTGTAATGTCAGAAATGGGAAGAATGAGCTGAAGGAGAAGGAATAAGCAAGACCAATTCTAACCAGCTGTGGCAATGAAGAAGCAGAGGAAGAGGTTAGACATGAAAGAGTTACAGTTGGCAGAAGTTGGCCAATCTGAGACAGAGGACAAGGGAGAGCTCAAAGGGGTCAAAACTGTGCCCAGGGTTGGGTTGAGGAGATGGCTCAGAAGGCTAAGTGCTTACTGTGCAAGGATGAGGAGCAGTAAGCAGAGACAGGGGGCTGCCTGGAGCTTGCTAACTAGCCAGACTAGCTAGGCAGTGAGCTCCAGGTTCAGTGAGAGACCATGCCTCAAACAATAAGGTAGAGAGCAACTGAGGAAGACACCTGACATTAACCTCTAGCCTACACACATGCACATGCATCAATACATGCATGCACATATGCGCACAGACACACACACATACACACACACACACACACACACACACACACAAGAATGTGCCCAGTATTTTTGCTTTAGAACATGTAATGATATCCTTCCCTGAGCTAGAACCCTCCCTCCCCCCTAACAAATAGGCAACAAATGGATTGGGAGTGTGGGGCTATTGGTCTCAGCCCTAAGCACAGTCCGGGGAAGCTAGAGTGTCCAGGTTCCTTGCCTCTACTGTCCTTTTCATTTGCTTTGTGTTCTGAGTCATGAAAATGGCTGGCAAGGCATGATTGAGGCAAAGAGTAACCAGGAGCAGGTTTTCCAGAATTCTGGAAGTGAGTGTGCCTGTTGAATGATGGACATCTGTCTCTGAGCATAAGACAGATCTGGGCAGGATAAGAGGACATGGCATGGTCAGCAGCCAATGCTGCTTAGAAAAAACTGGTGACCAGGGTTTTTCCTCTGGAAAGATGTCTTGGGTGACTAGGGAAGGAAGATTCTTTACTTCTTTGGCCTCTTGTGTCTTTTAGACATGGTTTAATAGGCATGATTTTACACATCCAAAGATATGAACAAGTGAAGATTATCTGGATGGAGTGGGATGTTAATGTCTAACTACCATTAGAGAGGGGAAGGGTAAATCTAGAAGAGAGTAAGAAGAGTCCTCAAGACAGCAGCAGAGCATGAGCTCCAGGGCTCAGGATCAGCTTTAAACTAGAGCATTTCTGCTGTTGAGGCTGGGCAAAGGGAAAGAGGTGATAGCTGCAGATGGAGGGACTCATATAGAAGGAAAGCACAAAACAGAACAGTCAGCAAGGCCGGGTCCTGAGAGTCAAAGGCCAGAAGGAAAGACGGCAAAGTCTGAAATAACTCATCAGAAGGGAGGTTAAATTATGCAGAAAAGATACAGGGAGATCCGTGGAAATCAGAGCCTATGAACTTGTCTAGTGTATGGTTGTGGGAGTCTCTCTGAAGATGCTCAGCTGCCTGGATGACATGTCCCACAATATCAGAGTTCACTTCCATTTCATTCAGTGAGAATGACCATAGTACTATACCATGTTCCAAAAAATACTCAGAGGTTTTCTATGCTGACTTTATTTGGAAAATCAAGTTCTTTCCAAAAAAGTTTTTTCTTCTTGACATGGAGAGATGACTCAGAAGTTGAGAGCACTTGTTGCTCTTGCAGAGAGGATCAGGTTTCAGTTCCCAGCACACACATTCAGCTAATGACCATCTGTAACACTAGTTCCACAGGATCTGGATGCCCTTTTCTGGCCTCCACAGGCATTGCACGCACATGGTGCACTTACATACTTGCAGGCCAAACCACTCATACACATACATGGGATATAAATAAATGTAATAAATAAGTTTTAAAAGTCTAGTTGGAGGGTCATTGGCTCAGAACACAGAGGATTTAGAGAACTCAGGAAAGGAAAGTGTAGGCAGATGGTGGGGTAGGGGAATTTAGAGTCTGACTGATGTTCAGAACCCTAAGACTGAGCCAAACCAAACATAGTCCAAAGACAGAATGAAGGTGGGGGCTGCAGGCTGGGGGATCCATAAAAGCCAATGGGCCGTTGACTTTAACTTGAATTCTTTTATTCTTAAATTTTACAGACCCTCTGGGTGGCTGCCAGTATTTAGCAGACTAGAGCTGCAAATTCATTTCACTAGAGTGGGCTACAAAACTGTTGTCCTAAATTTGACTCTATTGGCTGGTAACTTGCCCTAAGTTTCCCTTCTATACTTGTGTTATAGTCTTGTGAAAGAAAATGACTAGTTTATATGCATTTTTATTGATAAAGGTCTAAATTGATCTTGCCTCTGTTAGCTTTGCTCTCCACCCCCCAAAATCCCCACTGTTCTAGATAGTCCAAGCTCAGAACATTAAAAATAATGAGACTATTTCATCCTCTCAGTTTGGAGATCTCTGTTTATTAAGTCACGAATGAGAAGATTTATGTATGAGGTTGAATGAGTCTCTTCACTTAATTTAATACTTAGTTTCCTGGCTTTTAGAATGTAAAGCAACCACAAAAAGTCCAAAGACCTCTTTATCTATCCCAAACAAAGTTCAAAAAGAGCAAAGGACCTCCTATGGTGAGTACATTCATGTGAAAAAGAAATGGCCTTTTGAAATCTAAGACTCAAAGAAAGAAGCTTACTCATCCATTCGCCATAAAATAAACACTCCAAAATCCTCAACCCATACTCAAAACAAGATATTTTAAATGTACTTAAGTCTTTGGAGAAAATTGCTAAATATTCCTTGAGCAACATCTATCTGCTGGTTAGTGTGAAAGACACTGGGGGGTGTAATAAGGAAGTTCCCACCACACAGTATAGGGAAAGGAGCCAAGAGCCCATGAAGTGCCAAAACACACAGTGAATTAAAAGCATAGTAAAACAGGGTAAGGTAGGTCATAACGAAGGAAAGTCCACAGAGGCCATGTAAACACGAGGGAGGACAGACCCTTTAATATATGAAGGAGAAAATTTAAACATGTCTTGAAATTTACTCGGGAATTAAGATGGCTAAAGATAAAAGGCATTTCTTTGTTCAAGAACAGTGATGGATCCATCATACAACATAAAGCTCTAGAGATCTGTCATATAGCAGTGTGCAGGACTAACAGCATTGTGCTCTATATAAAATTTTAGCCAGGTAGATTTCATATTATATATATTTTTTACATCACAAAATGAAGGGGAAAAGAAGGGAGAAGCTGTGCTAGGTACTTTAAAATTAAATCAAACATGATGAGTCCTGCCTTCAAAAATAGTTACAGTTTAGCATGGGAAATAACCAAGCAAAGACAATTATACTATTGAGAGATGTCTTGTTTTATTCTGGCCACTGTAACAAAGTACCATAAACTGGGAGTTCAGAAACGGCTGAGAGCTACTTCTCAGAGTTCAAGGGACCTGCTGAGATGAAGGCATTCGCAGATTCAGTGTGTGGTCAGGGCCAGTGTTCTGATTCATAGATGGCATCCTCACTGTCTTCACATGGCACAAGGACAAAGGAATTCCCATGGGTTTTGGAAGGTTGTAATCCCATTCCCAAGGGCAGTACTCTCAAAGACCCAATCACCTCCCAAAGGTACCACCCCTTAGGTATCATCATGTTAAGGTTTAAACTTCAACATATGATTCAGTGAATGCCAGACACATTCAGATGCTGTGAAGAGATGGTGCTGTGATAGAAAGAGGCCTGGAGTAAAAAGGGAACAGATGTGAGTCTCCTGTGGAAGAGTAGGAGTGTCAAGAGACACTTTCCAGAAGAGATGACATGGGAGCTGGGCTGGAAAGTGATGGATTATTCGTGTGATTTAGAGTGAAGGTGTGTAAGTGGAAGGGAAGGGAGAAAGGGAATTGTGAAAAGCATCTACAAAAAGAAAAGAACAGGGCAAAGAGGCCTTTCAGACAACCAAGGCATAGGCCAGAAGTATATACCTGAAGCAGTAAAAATTGTCTCCAGAAAACAGCAGGGTAGCTAGGTTAGGCTGGAGGATGCATAAATGACAAGCAGACCTGGGAGCATAAGTAGGGACCATGTGCTGTTTGACTTTAGGGCTATCAATAATGGTGAAGCAGATGGCAGAGCAAAGCATGGACTAGTTGGGGGTGAAGCCTACTGAACTAACCTGGCCATACCATTAGCTCCATAGAGGACTTTTATGCAGCCAAAATACTGTGTGGAGGAACATGGTGAACTCAGAGTCCCAGCCTCAGCAAATACATAGGAAGATTACATCTGAGGGGCAGAAGCATGTTGCTCCAGGAGAGCCAGTCCAGTGTCAAGCTGTACTTAGTGAAGGGTTAGAGGGCACTAAAGCCCTATGAGAAAACTGAGAAAAATCTATGACACCTGCCATGAGGAAGGTGACTGGTAGCTCTGCAGGATGAAAGGAGAGAAGCCAAGTTGCAGAGAACACATGCCTTAGAACTCTCAATTTAAGTTGCTAATTAAAACTTGAAGTACTTAGCCAGGCATGGCGGCGCATACCTTTAATCCCAGCACTTGGGAGGCAGAGGCAGGTGGATCTCTGTTGAATTCAAGGCCAGCCTGGCCTACATATGGAATTCCAGGCCAACTGAGACTACAGGAAGACCCTGCCACTTGAAGTGCTTAGACCTTCCACCAAGTGATATTTTTATACAGAGTAAAAAACATGAGTCACATAAACCACTGGTGATAAAGTGGAGAAAATGGCATTTGTTTTAGATTGTTTAGGGGGCCACTTTCTGGATGAACACTAAAATGAAATATATTGTACTATATAGTTCTTTCCATGTTCTGAAAACACTGTCCAAAAACTTCTGTGGAAGTAAAATAAAAAGTTAATAGTTAAGGAAATCAACTTAATCACTAGGTCATTCCCATTGAGATATTGTCAAATTCATAATAGAAGAGTTAAGATCGGGTTTTTTTTTCTAATGAAATAAGATAAGATGGGTAGGATGGAATGGGTAAAACGGGATGGACAGGACAAGATGGACAGGGTAGGATAGATAGGATAGGATAGGATAGGATAGGATAGGATAGGATAGGATAGGATAGGATAGGATGCGTAGAATAGATGGAAGCAAGGATAGAAAGAAGGAAAATAAGCAGAACAGAATAAACAGGGAAAGTTTAAAATACATATATTTAAGCCAGGCATGGTATTTGCTGTGATTTCAGCACTCAGGAAGCTCAGGCAGAGGATAATAAGAAACAAGCCTTAGCTACACAATGACACCCTTTCTCAAAAAAATTGTTTTAGGAAATAATCAGCAAAAAAAATTAGGTTAGAAAAGCATATTGTGGTATGTAATTTTTGGTTAATTAGTACGTACAAAAATATACATACTGTGCTATAATGTAAAAGGCATATATAAAAATATAAATATTTACATTTATGTTATAACAGATATATTTTATATATTACAATTTTATAGTATATGTAAATATATATATATACACTTTTTTTAAAAGTAACTTTTAGGGGGCTGGAGATGGCTCAGCGGTTAGAACACTGACTTTTCTTGCAGAAGACCCAGGTTCAAATCCCAGCACCCACATGGCAGCTAACAACTGTCCGTAACTCCAGTTCCAGGGGATCTGACATCCTCTTCTGTCCTCCATGGGCATTGCATGACATGGGCGCATTTACCTATATGCAGGCATAACACACATACACATGAAATAAAAATAATAAATTAAAAATATTTTTTAAAGTAGCTTTTAGGTCCCAGTGTGGTGGTGCATGCTTTTAATCCTAACATTCAGAAGGCAGAGGCAGGTAGATCACTGTGAAACTGAGGCCAGCCTGAGATGATAGTGAGTTCTAGGCCAGCTGGGGCTACATATGAATATAAATACAGTATAAATTTATATATTTACTATGGATCCTGGTCTACAGAGTTTGAAGAATGGTAACTTAGAACATATCACAGGCTGTTCAAAATATATTTGAAACCGAACATGTTTTATTTAATTTTAGTTTCAGAGCATAAAGACAGCATACATTCCAGCATAACCACTGATGAGGGAAAAGATCCGGTTATATCAGATGGTGAGTCTGGGGAGTTGTGGACAATCCCCGTGCTGCTCACACTCGGGGCTCCTGTTGTCTGGTTGCAGAGCGTGAGGCTATGGCAAGAAAAGTCCAGCAACTAAAGTCATTTGTCAATAACTTGGTTCATTTTCTTTCACTCCATAAAGATTTTGGAAGGGGAACGAAAGTGTCAATAATTGTTTTCATGCTGAAACTGCTTTTGTATCCTACCTCAAACTCTCCCAAGACCGTGTAGCTTTGTCATGGTCCCATATGTCTTACCCTTCTCACTTTTCCCTTCTCTACTTCTCCTTCATAAATTTCAAAATAGCTAGCCCAGCCAGAAGGAATTCGCCCCAGAAGGCCAGTGAGAGGAATAGATTGAGAGACCCAAATGGGAAATTTCAATGTCAAGAACTTTCTTCTTCATAATTGGAAAGGGGGTAGGAAGAGAGAGCTTGTGACTCTTGGTATAGAAGTTAGTATATTTTCTAAATCTGCTTATATAAAACACATAAAATACTAATGTAATGTGCTTCAATTTTACCATTTCTTTATCTGACTCTCTCTGTATAAAGGAAGCTGGTACCACTGAGCAGTTGTCCAGTGACTTATATTGTGAAGCCGAGTTTCATGGGAGGTTGGTATAGAGTTGCCACACTGAGTTATTTGACTGGACATCTGCTTGTTCTATTTTCCATGGGACTATGGACAAGCTATTGTCCTAGATTGAGACCCCACACAAAAATGACCTAACATCTTCAACTCCTAATGGAGCAAGGGAATTCAAGAAGCTTCACAGTAGCAGAAAGAAGACAGGAGAAGAGGTAGCTGCAACAGTCAATGTGTTTTCAGTATTAATTCTTTTAATTCTCTACTTTCTGCAGGAGATTTTTCAGAGCCAAATCTCCCCACTTCTAAAAACCCATCAGTTCAAGAATCTGAAAATGGTAGGTGGTAGACAAAACTTTAATGAGTATTTTCTTTTCTACAAATGGAATAGTTAGTAGAATAGCAGATCTCCTTGCTGGACAATTATTTTCAAACCCTACCCAGACTCCCATATTCCAGGGATTAAGCCTGGCTTGCCCATTCTCCCGGAACCTATGCCCCACTTTAATAACCAAAGCTATGACAGAGGGAACGTACTCCTTTTCTCAGGGTAAAGAGCAGAATATGCTAGGAAAAGTGTACAACTATGTCTATGAGTTCTGAACACCAAAGCATTTAACTGCAGTTTCCCAGTATCAGTATCTCAGTATCGGATGGAAAGATTGGTAAGGATTTCTTTGCTGCTGACCAACCAGGATATTCACTCACATCTCTGCTCTCATTTAAATGTCCAGTGAACACAATCTAGTGTACCTTCCATTCTGAAAATTCACAGCATGAGGGCTTTGGATTGGGCTAACTGTAGAAAACTAGAATTGGTGCTCCAAAGAGAAACAAGGCCCAGAGACCACATGGAGCTGAGATTACAGCTGAATACACAGTTCAGATCCAGAAGGAAAGGTTCTCAGGGAGACTTGCACTCAGAAATAGCTATGCTGAGGAAAGAGGACAGAATTCACTTTGCTGCGTGAAAATGTTTAATGAGGTCTGGTGGTTTTCTGTCCCCATAGAACCCATCTCATACATGTAGCCCCCTCAGTCACTGAGCCAAATTGAATACAGGAATCCAGTGGATGGGGCAAAAGTAAAAGCTAACAAAAACAGATGCTACAAATGCATTTTAAAAATAGTTACATCTTTCCACTTTTTCTTCCTTTTACAGATGCTGAAGACAAAACTGAAGAATACTAATAGCTCCAACTAAACCAAATATAAAGTGATTTGAAATTGTAATAAATACAGAAGGATCTGTGAATATCTGTATTTAAGGAAGAGTGGTTTGAAGATTGAGCTCAACCTTGGGGAATATTCCTTGGGGAATATTATGTTAGGCCATTAAATACCAGTGACAGCACAAAAAGTCATAGTTCAATCACTTTGTGTTTCCAGTAGCCACTCCTATTTTCGTGGATTATTGCATTTCCTCAGAAATAGATTGATGTTACTGTTTTTAAATATATTAAAATAGTGTTTCCAATCATTGCATCTTTACCTAAGCGTTATTCTAGGAGAACCTGTTTCTTCCACCTGTGATTCCTAAGGTGGTGGCTGCCACAGCCACATTTGCCCTCATGTCTTTTGGCCTTGCCCCATGTAACTGGACCAGAACCAAAGACAATCCCCCCCCAAACACACAGATACAAATATTTGGCTGAGACAAAGCAATTACTAATAATTGGTATCTGAGTCAAGTTAATGGTACTGAACTAAGACGACTACAAAATCTGATGAGATATTCATGACTAGACAGGCCACACACCTTCCAAAGACCTGACTATGTGCTGTTTTTCTTTGGGAATACATGACATAAGCATCTTTGCAACAAATTATACTTATTCATCAACATTGACCCACTAGGTTTCTATTACTTGACACAGATGTAATGTGAATAAATAGCATTTGAAAGAAATCATAGTATTTTTTTACCGTAGTCTTTTCTTAAAGCAATGCTAGTCAAATCAATATGCTCATATATTTTGAAGTTTAATAGAACCCCATGTAAATGCTGCTTGGGAACCCGTGAAAGCCCAGGAGTCTTGTTAAAAACTGCAAACTTCTATGCATTATTATTATTATTATTATATTGTTTTTATTATTTTAAAAGTAGCTTTTAATGACCAATGTGGTGGTGCATGCTTTTAATCTCAGCACTCAGGAAAGCCAGGCAGATCAGGCAGAGGCAGGCAGATCACTGTGAGATGGAGGCCAGCCAGAGATGATCTACATAGTTCCAGGGCAACTGGGGCTACATAGTAAGACCCTGTCTAAAAAAACAAACCAAAAACAAAGTCGCTTTTAGGGGCTGGAGAGATAGCTTAGCAGTTAAGGGCACTCTTTCAGAGGACCCGGATTCAGTTCCCAGCACCCACATGGCAGCTATCATCCATAACTCCAATTCCAGAGGATCTGATGCCCTCTTCTGGCATCCAGAAGGTGCACTTGTATACATGCAGGCAAAACACTCATCACTCATACATATAAAATAAAAATAAATAAAAATTTATTTTCAAAAAATAGCTTTTAAGCTACATACAAATTACTTTCTGAGAATTCAAGCAAGTTTCAGATATTTCTACCTTGCTTCTGTACCATGATACTAAGTGGATAGTTTCAAAGCCATGACTTGAATGACTTGTTTCAAAAGTCAGCAGTTTATTTGATGTACTATTAAAGACACATGTTTGCGCTCTATCCCACCACTTCCCCTGCCTCTCCCCATGGGGTGCTCATCCAAAGGAGGCTGATCACAAAGAACAATAATTAGATGGGTGGTCCACAGTTTGGGTACATAGAGATTGTTCTTTAACATGCAGAGATTAGCCATGGTAAAATTTAACTACATTTGGGAAATGGATTTCATGTCAGAAGATGTGATATCAGCCAAAGCCTGCTCTATTACCCTTGAATTATCTCTAGGAATAACTAATCACAGTACAGGATGGAAAAACTGAGACTGAATTCAACACACACACACACACACACACACACACACACACAGCACCTTCAAGTGTTGTGGCCCAGACACCCAATGGCCCTTCGTCCAATGAATTTTAAGCTATGACTAGTCAGATAATCAGCTTCTTTTCTAATCATTGAATACCTAAGAAGGAGTTAGAGAGAGAAGAGGCAGAGATTTCTCTGCTTAAGGACACATTCAGCCCCATCCTTAGAAGGAGTATGAACTACATCCTGTGTTTACTCCTATGAATGAATACAACAACTTAAATTGCCACTTTATCTACTACCACACATTTGCTCCAAATTAATATAAGATATAGAAGTATACTGGGAGAAAAGTATTTATGTTTACTATTTATTTATGTAGTGATAGGAGGGAGATATTCAATAGAAAAACCAGAATGTGGTGTGTGTGAGTAATTACTGGTCGCTGAAGACCCAGTAGTCTAAGTCCTTGAACTTTAGAAGACACTGTTACTCCCAATGTCCTGCCACCATTATCTTGGATAATGGAACTTTGATTTTGCTAAAGTAGCCAATGAGCCCAACACCAAGCACTGAATAATGACGGATGTAATCTAATCGTGCTTGACAGTGATTGGTTTGGGGTAGGTATATGACCCAGTTTGGGACAATACTATAAGGACAAGCCTGCTGGGGTTCTGGGAGGAGATGGGACGTAAGGAGAAAGCACTTGGGTTCCTCTGCACTTCCTTTATCTTAAAGGGCTGTCCTAGCTACAGCAATATTTTAGCAGGTGAGTTCAATTCATGCTAATGTCAAAAGCTACTGGTGTAGGATTGATGTAGCCTTATAGTATGTACTGTCTGGAATTGGGATGAATATTAAAAATTTGAGAAAGTATAGGTTTTTGAGCCTGGCTGACTAGGAAAAATGATTTGTTTATATTATGTAACTATATTAATTCCCCTAAAATAAACTATTGAAAATTATTTCTCTATTAAATTATATAGGTATGGGTTCTGAATATATATAACCATACATAGAAGTTGTCTATAGGTAACAGAAATACTACTTAAACAGGAGTTTAAGCCATAGAGTTTATTTCACAGACATTTTGGAACTAGTCTTGGGGTACTTGAGAGGCTCTGTGATGTCATCAAGGCCTTAGGCCCGGGTAACATGTATTTTTTCTCCACAGTTTTCATCTGAGTATTCTGGTGAGGTAGTGTCTCTACTCCTATCCACAAATAACTGTCTTGTCTCAACAAACAAGCAAACAAACAATAGATGACTGAATTTATTATAGCCAGATACTTTAGTTTCTGAACCCCAGATAGTTTAGTATAGATTTCACTTTCTCACCACACGATTCTTATCCAGTCTTGGTAGATTGTTTTAGGATTTCTTGATCTCATCACCATCCAGCTCAGTCCTTCACAATCATCAGCTCCAGACTTGCCATCTACCCTCCCCAGAGTACCCATAAACCTTGTGTTTCCAAAGTCTCTTTAGGTCTAACACAGTCGGCTAAACAATTCTTTCTTTTTATTTAATGGGATAAGAACTGTAAGAGTCCAAAAGATACAAGGGTTAAACAATCTCCTATGTAACCTTCATTTGCTCATTTTATGGGCTTAAAGTGAGCATCTTGAGCTCTGCGACTGTCTGGCCCAGAGCTGAATGCTTTCTCAGGCTGCAGAGGACTCGGAAAGGTTACCCAAGCTTGTAGCGGAGCTCCTGGCAGCAAACTGGTAACCTCCCAATGTGAGCATCTGCTCTGCCCTTGTCATTAACTTTTTCTGGGCAGGAATTAGAAGCCCAGATAGATGTCTAATCACAAACCTCTCACTTTGCTAGTACAGAGAGGCATGGTTTTTTCTAAAGGTGCCATAAGCCAAGGTTTTGGGAAATGGATACAGTCTCCTCTATTCTTGTAGGTAAACTGTCCTGGTTTGCTTCTCTGTTGCTGCAATGAAACACTGACCCAAAGCAACTTATCGGGGAAAGGATTTATTTCCACTTACAAGTTTACAGTCCACCCTCAAGGAAAGCTGGGGCAGGAACTCAAGCAGGAACCATAGAGGAATGCTGCTCACTGGCTTGCTTCCAGGCTCATGTTCAGCTATCTTTCTTATGCAGTCCATCTGCCTAGGAGTGGAACTACCCATAGTGGCCCCTCCTACATCATCAGTTAGTCATCATTAAATGCCCCACAGCCCAAACTGATGGAGATAGTTCAGCAATTGAGGTTCCTTCTTCCCAGGTGTATCAAGTTAACTGAGATTAACTAATATATATGCTATTTATCTCTGAGAAAGAGACTACAAATTCTAGTGTGTCTTACTCAAGGAAAACATGAAGTTGCTCTCAAATAATGCTATCAAATCAACTTTTCATCCACAGCCAAGATTGCCTCTATGTTTGCAAAAATATTTTTATGATTACTATTTTTATTTTATGTGTCTGAATTTATTGTCTACATGTATGTAAGTACACCCATGTCATGAAATGTCTGAGGAGGTCAGAAGAGAGCTTCAGAACTGGAGTTATGGACAGTTGTTAGCTGCCAACTAATCCTGGGAATCAAACCCTGGTCCTCTGTAAGAGCAGCTAGCTCTTAAGCATGGAGCCATCTCTCTAGCCCCTGCAAAAATCTTATAATGAGTTCTCAGTCATTTCTATGACTTGGATGTGGTTAATTCCACCAAAGGCTCTTTTGTTCCCAGTGTAGCAGTGTTAACAACTGGTGAGTGTTTTAAGGGGTGGATCCTAGCAGTGAGGTTCATTGAATATGCCACCCTCAGAAAGGATTAAGGTGCTTCTGTGAGACTCTGAGTTAATTATAAAAAGAACAAAACTCACATGTCTTCCAACTCTGGCATCCTGCCTGGCCAAGCAACCCCTCCTTCCTGCATGCTCCCCATGTCATAATGCCATTTGCCACGATGCAGCTAGGGAGCCTCTCACCAGAGCTGCTATCATGCTATTTGGTCTTTTATCCTCAAAAGCTCACGGTTTGGAAGGCTGAAAGTTGTGGAGAGAGAGAGAGAGAGAGAGAGAGAGAGAGAGAGAGAGAGAGAGAGAAAGAAAGAGAGAGAGAGAGAGAGCCACACCACTAACAGCTACCAGATTTTTGACAAAGATGCCAGAAATGAACACTGGATAGAAGACAACTTCTTACCAAGGTGGTGTCTAGAAAACCTGGAATCCATATGTAAAAGAGTGAAACTAGAGCCGTATTTTTCTCCCTCTACAAAAGATAATTCAAAATAGACCAAAGGCCTTAATGTAAGGCCTGAAACTCTGAAATTGTTAGAGGAAAACGTAGGCAAAACATTTCAAAATACAGGCATAGGCAAGGACTTCCTAAAAGGGGCTCCAACAGCTCAAGAGGTGAAACCATGAGTTGGCAAATAGGATTATGTGAAATTCAAAAGCTTCTGAACAACAAAGGAAAAAATTGAGCAGTCTACAGAATAAGAGGAAAAATTACTAACTGTATACCTGACAGAGGATTAAGAGCTAGAATATATATAAGACTCAAAATCCAAGTACCAGCAAACCAAAGTGGGCTAATGAAGCTTTTCAAAGCATGAAGTGCAAATGGCCAACAAACATGAAAAAATGTTCAACATCTTTGGCCATTAGAGAAACACAAATTAAAACTACACAGATTCCCACATAGTCAGGCGATCATTAAAAACAACAAATGCTGCTGCGGATATGAGGAAAAGAGAGCCTTTGCACATGGCTGGGAAATGTAAATTAGTCCAGCCACTATAGAAATCAGTATGGAGGTTCCTCAAAAATGTGAAAACAGTACTACCATGTGACCCAGTTATATCACTCCTGAGTATCTTCCCAAAGGACTCTAAGTCAACATACTAGAGAGATACTTGATCATTATATTTATTGCAGATCAC